CAGATGTGGAAAGAAGTTAGTCTCAAATGTAGGACAATGGACATAATAAAAGTATTTGGGGGTTGGTGAGATGTCTCATCAGGTAAAGGCACTTGCCACCGAGGCTGACGACTTGAGTTCGATTTCCTGAACCTACATGGTGAAAGGAGAGAGCTGATTCCTGCAAGTTGTCTTCTGACCTGCACGCACATGCTGAAGGACTCTAGAGCGCCCTCCTCAAATAAAGAAATCTTTTAAAAAGTAAAAAGAAAAACAAAGCACCCACTATCTGAGACATTCCATGTCCTTCCCAGTGCAGCCTGAGGCTTGGGTACCTTGTGCCTTGAGGTGTCTGTCAACACATCCTGAAATCCTCATGGTTTGCCAGTCATTTAGAAACAACTTTCAAATCATGAAGACAAACCCCCGCAATTTTTTTTCCCAGCAACGTTTAAAGTTATGTCTCTCAACCCAGTACTTTCCGATATTTCCCTAAGCAATGATAAATATTTGGAAAGCTCTTGTAAAGTTTCTTGCATAACAGCATAAGACAAAAGGAAAAAAACCCCAAACACCTAGCACCAGGCAAACATTTTTTTCTTTCTGCTGCAGTAAAAATGGCAGAAACAATGAACAGTAAATGATCTGTCGACACACCGAAAGGCATATCTTTGTCAGCAAATACTCCTGAAAGATGATGGGGAAAACATTGCCGCTGATTGGAAGAAACGAATATTAGAGCAAATTACCCAGTGTGGGAGGTTTGCTGTGCAGTTGGCTGAAAGTACAGATGTTTTGAACATGTTTCAGCTTATGGTATCTGCTGGATTCTCTTCCAATAATGAAACACACAAACCACTTTTTTTTGTGAACCACTAAAGGCAAGATATATCAGAAAAGATATATTGCCCACAGTAAACGCCTTGTTGAATAAAAGCAATGTTACATGGGGAAATGGTGGAGGTGTAACCACTGATGGACACACTACCTGGAAAGATTGTTTTAAAAGGATCCTGGATATCTGTAAGGGGACAGGGGTAGCAAAACTCACCCAGTGGCTCATTCATCCATAGTAAACCACCACAAGAAACAAAAGCCTTGACATGTCAGATGTTGTAGGAGATCATTTGTAGGGTTAATTTTATAAAACAATCTTTTTTTTTAAAGATTTTCCTATTAGAGAAAAAGCTTTATGACTCCCATTAATGAGATTGGGTGTGACCAGGAGACTTTCCAGATCATAGAGAATGAGTCATCAATAACTGTGGCAAAGTACTAGACGGAGGTGCCCTAAGTCGTACCCCTTTCTGCCAGATTCTCTGGAGACAGGGTCTTACTATGCTGCCCAGGCTTGTCTGGACCTCCTGGGCTCAAGAGATCCTCCTGTCCCAACTTCCCCAGTAACTAGGACTACCCAGCCTATTTTCCTTTTCTCCTGGTCCACACCCTCCCCTTCCCCCTCCTTTCCCCCTTTCTTTTTCTTTCCTTTTTAAAAAATATTTTTATTTTTATTTTATGTGTATGAATGTTATGCCTGAATGTGGGTAAATGCACCCATGTCGTGCAGTGCCATCGGAGGACAGAAGAGGACATTGGATCCCCTGGAACTGGAGTTATGGACAGTTGTTAGCTGCTGTTGGGTGCTGGGATTTGAACCCAGGTCTTCTTCAAGAACAGCCAGTGTTCTTAACCACTGAGCCATCTCTCCAGCCCCTCTTTTTCTTCTTCATTTTTGGAGACAAGGACTCATTCTATAGACTAGGCTGGCTATGTAGTCTAAGTTGGTCTTGAACTTGTGGCTATCCTCCTGCTAGGGATGGTGGTAAGCCCCCATGTTGATATAGAGAACTGAATTGGGGTCCTTTTCAATAGAAAAATCAGTGCTCTTAACTGTCGAGTCATCTCTTCAGTCTCAAGGATGTCTTTTTTTGTAGCCTAAGCTGGCCTGGAACTCACTATGGAGACTCGATCTCACAGAGATTCACCTACCTCTGCCTCCCAAGTGCTGGGATTAAAGACCCACTCAAGGATGACTTTTTAATTAAAAAGTAAGGTCATTGTCTTTGAATGACAACTCATGATCATGAGGAAAAATAATTTGACAATGGATTTGAAAAGGATTTTTTTCCATGTGTATGCACATACATGTGCCCGTTTGCTCATGTGTGATGGCCAGAAGAGAGTCGCAGGTCTCCTCCATTTTTCTTGCCTCATTCCTTTGAGGCAGGATCTGTCCCTGAACCTGGAGCTCTCAGCCGTCAAACCCCAGAGCCCTCCTGTCTCCATTCCCTCTCGGTGATGGCTTATAGATGTACGTGAGACCATGTCTGGCTTGTTAGGTAGGTGCAGGAATATGAACTCTGATCCTCATGCTCAAACAGCAAGTGCTCCACCACTAAATCATCACGAAGTCCCTGAAAAGGGGTTTCACTGATGCTTGGTTTTGTAGTCAACAATTAAATTAACAATAATTAACAATCAAACTAATTTATTAGTAGTATGTGTATGATATGTGTTTGGGTATGCATGCCATAGAACACATGTGGAGGTCAGAGGACAACTTTGTGGAACTGGTTCCCCTTTATGTGGGGAATTCTGGGGATCGAATTTGCCTGTGGGTAGCAAGCACCTTTGCTCGCTGAGTCATCTTGCTGGTCCCTTAACAATGTGTTTGACTGCTAAACCCCTTACACATACACTGTGAAACTTGGAAGTAGAGACTAATCTTTTCGGTAAAAAAAAAAAAAAAAAGTATAATCTACACATACCATAAAATTCACCTTTAAAGTGTACAAGTTAGTGGTTTTCAGAATATTCACAAGGTTGAGCAGCTATTACCCAGCTTCTAATTCCAGAATAAGTCATTCTTAAAATTTGCAGTTTTAAAATGAAAAAGCCCAGGTCTTTGGGCTTTAAACAAATTTATAAAACTTAAATGTGTAATACCTCCCCATTGTGTTGAAAGACCAGCTATTTGACACCAGGAAGACAGAAACATATCAGCTGATGGTTAACAAAAGTTTGCATAATTGGGGGATGGAATTTAAAAACTAGTGTGGTGATTCAGGCAGCTCAGCTAATGACGCCTTCTTCTAGTCAGCTCATATTTTCGTGACAGCCACTAAAATCCAGAATTGAAATATGCCACTCTGAGAGCCAGGACTTCAGAGCGATGTTTCACAGTGTTAAATCACAAATTTAGCAAATAAGGAGGCATATTCAATCTTACTAATATTACTAGAGGGAGCAAAGTGTGTTTTTGTACCTTTGTAAATGTGCAAATAAATTTGTAATGCTGCAAAATTTACTGGAACACATGGTTGATTCCACTTTTATGTGATTCTTTTAGTTGTCCTCGGCTGAGCAGGTTAGATAGACGCTAAGTAGGGCTGTACTGGGCTGATGTGCCAGTGTCCTCCCATGCAGGTCAGAAATATTTAGCATTTACACCTCAGGTTGCTCAGCTTGCACCTCTGGACCAACACCCCGCTACACCAAAAAAAATCCAACAAACAAAAACATGAAAGAAAGGAAAAGAAGACTACATGTAGACTACATGTGTCTAGAAAGAGCCAAAGTACCATGTCCCAAGGCAGGCTTGGTCTGCTCCCCACTCAGAGGCTTGCAGTCACAGGACTCTAGATTCACATTTCTTCCTGTCCTCAATTCTGCTCTGCACTGCTCAGGCCTACAGCCTTCACCCCACCCACCCTCTCTGGTCTTGCCATTCTCTGGCCCCTGGCCGACTGCTGCCTCAGGGCCTCTGCACTGCTTTTCTACATTGTTTAGATCCTCACTTTGTCCTGACTAATATTCAATTGTCTGCTCATTAGGCTGTCTCTGTCTGGCCTGATCGCCATTACCCACCCCTCCATCTGTACCCTGTGACCCAGGTGCTCATGGGTTTTCTTTCTGGAAAGTACTACTGGAATGCCAGGAATAGTGGCTCACAGTTATAATCTCAGCACTTGGGACGCTTAAACAGGATGACTGCCACAAGTTTGAGGCCAGCTTAGACTATTGAGTGAGCCCCTGTCTCAGAAGGGAAGAAGGAAGAGGAGGAGGAGGAGGAGGGGAGGGGGCATTGCTAGAGATAGGGCTATGACTCAGTGGCAGAGCACTTTCCTAGCACACACTAGGCTCTGGGTTTGATCTTCAGGAAAATAAACGGATTATTGGCATTGCATGGTATAACATTTTATTATTCGTTTGCCTCTTCTATAATGGTGGGCAGAAAACTAGGCACAACCTGAGACAGACTTGGGGGACCCTGCCCCTCCTTGGATTTCCTAGCTGTGTAACAGGCATGCAGGGAGCATAGAAGAGCAAAGACTCTGGGTCCTTTTTCTGTGAGGGCATCTGTAGCACTGGGCCCCTGGGAAGGGTTCTGGCTGTGGAGCTGACAGTGAGGGTGGGGCAGACTATGTCAAAACCCTGTTGGGGATCCCAGCACAGCAGTCTCTGTAGCCAGCAGGGTTGATTGGAGGGTGGTAGGAAGCCAGCCTCTCCCTGTGCCCTCTTGTACTCCAGGGCCTATGGGGGTCCAGGCTTGGTGGGCAAGTGCATGCTTGTTTCTCTGTGAATTGATAGAGCCCTGCCTTTCCTAGGGTACTGGTGCCAGAGGTCAGGAAGGGGCAGCCAGGCAGCCCTGGGAGGGTCAGGGGTATGGTTGTCATGGCTTGGGCTTCCAGGAGGCCTCAGGGTCCCAGCAGTTCCAGAGCTGAAAAGAGGACTTCGTGTGGTCTGAGGCTGGTTGATAGTTAACAATGAATGTCCTCTTGTGGATGCCTGGGTGGAGGCTCTAGGGGCAGCAGCTGTAGGTAGCGTTAAGGGTTGAGGCCACCAGGAGCGAAGGACCGAGATTGGGGGCCAGTAGGGCCAAGGGCAGACAGAGTGCAGGGAGTACCGGGCACTGGGCCCGTCAGTGGGAACCATGGAGAGAAGTTAGCAGGATGTCAGGGCAAGGGAAGCACCAGGTGAGGGTATGGGACGCCGAGGTGGAACCTGGGGGGGACCAGAGTTCAGGGCGTTGCCCCGACCAGCAACAGCAGTGTTCCAACCAGCAGTGGCAGGGACAGCGGGGCAGTGGCTGGGCCCAGGTTCCCGACTGCGCTCTGTCCGGGGCTGTTGGGGTGGCTCTGACCTGGGGTGGTGGTGCTGCTGCTCTGGTCGGCAGGGGGCGCCAGGCGGCAGTCGGTGTAGGGCTCCAGGCAACCAGCAAAGGCCATGACATGCGCGATGTAATTCTGCTCCTGCACTCCGTGCACCAGGTGAGCCTGCGGGCCACGCGCGAATATGGCCACGTCCTCGCCGCCATGGGTCTCAGACCCCACGGGCACAGCCGCCTGCTGCCTGTATGTGGGGTCACCTGGAAGAACAAGATGTTCAGGGCAAAGGATATCTGACTCAAGTCCCCTCTGCCTTCCCTACCCGTAGGCAGGCGACATCTCACTCACTGCTTTCCGTAGCTGTGACATTGGGCCGTTCGCCTGTACCAACATAACCCGGGCCATTGCCGTACAGGATGGAGGTGTAGAACTTGCCATCCGAAGCCTTGAGGGGGGCCAGTCCTGTATGACAGAAAGGGGACACCCTGTCCTTGGAGCACCCCCCATCCCCCCATTTTTCCTGGCCAGTAGCACATTCTATACATTTTACCAGATTCCTACAAGGCAGGTATTCTTTAGGTTTAACAGATCTGGAGAAACTGAGGTTCAGAGAAATTTCTGCTACATAATTGATGCAAAATCAGCTGCCACTGTCCCCTGGCCTACCAAAGATGGAGGTCCCCCGAAGTGTGTAGCCACCAAAAGAGAAGACATGGGAGTGGTCAGCGGTGACAATGGTCAGCGTGTCCTGCTCACTGGTGAGTTCGCTTGCCCTTTCGATGGCAGAGTCGAACATGACAGCTTCTGTCAGCGCCAGGTAAGCTGTGCCCAGGTGATGACCACGGTCGATGCGGCCCCCTGCAGGAAGCCACTGACTTTTGAGCTTGCCAGGTCTGTTTTCCTCCTCTTTTTCTTGCAGGTCATGAGACTCACCCTCCACAAAGAGGTAGAACCCTTTGGGGTTCCTGCTCAACACTCGAAGGGCTGCCTCTGTCATGTCCTTCAGGGACGGGTCCAGCATGCGGTCTCGGTAGATCTCGAATTCTGTGTCTACAGGCTGAAAGAGACCTGAGGGACAAAAAAGCCTATGGGGACCACCAGGCTTGGTAGTGGGGTCATGGCACACAGACACACGTACTCAGTAGAGGCTATCAGAGGGGTTCCAGTGCAGGAAATATGGGGCCTTTACCCATGAGGTATGTCACTGATGGATCCAGGGATGCCTGAATGAGCTCTTCACGGTTCCAAACATACCGGGATCCCTGGCAGGACATGACCACTTGTTAGCACAAAGTCTTGAGGCCCACAGCCATGTCCTGGTCCCTACTGTGCTTTGTGAGTCCCCATCACCTGGCGCGTGGACAGCCACTCCTCTACCAGGTTCCGTCCATCCAGCCTGGTTCCAGTTGCGTTAACATCATTTGGATACTCAGGGTCTGGCGTCCCCTCAGGAAACATGTATTTTCGGCCCCCACCAAGGATCACCTATAGTTAGAGAGGATCAGGAAGGTGGATTTAGGGCTTTGACTTACGGACTTAGGGACTTATAGGGGTCCCCTGCCCTGGTCCCCAGCTCTCTACCAGATCTATGGGTAGGACTGCTCCTGGGCTGGGTCTTCTACACCCACCCTCCAGAGACCCTGGAGGATCTAGGAGCTCAGCCTGCATGTTGCTTGGGGTCATCCTTCCCCTAGTCCCTGCCTCTGCCCTTCATGCTGTACATTGATGTCCATGTTGGAGATGAGCTGAGTGGCGATGTCCTTGCAGCCTTCCTGCAGTGCTGAGGCAGGCATGTCAGCATCTCCATACCAGTTGCGGTTCACCGTGTGAACATAAGTGCCAGCTGGAGAAGCATGCTGCACCCTGGTGGTGGTCACCACTCCCACAGACTTTCCTGAAACATCAAAGGTCAGGTGGGACACCTAGTACTCTGGGCCTGCCCCCTCTGAGCCTGTCCCCAACCCACCTGCTTTCTTGGCACGGTACATCACCGAGAAGACTTCGTTTCCAAATGTCGTGTTGCACTGATCAAAACGAGCTGCTGCACTCAAGCCAATGGTCTTGTAGTTGGCTTTGACCCCGCATAGATAGGCTGTGGCTGTACTTGCACTGTCTGGTACCTGTCTGTCCACGCTGTATGTCTGGGGACAAAGGCATCCTCAACTGTGCGATAAGCAGACATATATTCCTTCATCCAAGCCTAGGCCTGTGCTCAATGTCCCAGACCCTAACTGGGCTCCAGCTGACCTGGGTCCTCCCAGTGCTCACCTTGGACAGAGCCATGTATGGGAAGAGGTCCATGGCTAGTGGTGTCTCAGGTCCCAGATGGCCATTCAGTTGTCCCTTTAGGATCCGAGTGGCTGTCACCGTGGGCACCCCCATCCCTGAAGAAGCAGAACACAGTTAGATCTGAACCCCCAGGCCTGCCTGCCAGGGCCCACCAGCGGCCTTGGGTTCCTGGGGTGTGTGTGAGAGCCCTAGGGGCCAGACCTCGAACACTCACCATCCCCCAGGAAGATGATGAGGTTCTTGGCTGATGTCTGAATGGGCTGTAGCTTCTTGGCGGCATCCAAGGCCTCGGCTGCCTTTTGGTTCCAGAAGGCTGGGTTCTCCTCCTCCACTGGCCAAGGGGAGAACAGAGGAACAGTCAGATGAAGGCTGTGTGTGTAAGGGGAGCAAGCAGCTCAGGGAGCCTTCTTACCTGGGATGAAGCCAAGGGACAGATGTAGCCTGAGGCCCAGCAGCAGCAGCACCCAGGTTCCCAGCATGGCTGTGGCTGATGGTGAGATGGCAGTGGATGGGGAGCTGGGACACCAGAGTACCAGCTAAGACATAGGCTGCCTGGGTTTAAATAGGGGGGAACTTTGTTCCTCCTACCTGAAAGGTTCCAGGTCCTTCCCCTGGATCCAGGTGGCCACCCTGGCTCCACCCCTGCCCAGTGAACTGAACACCTAACTGGAAGGAGGTGGCAGGGTGTGGCTGGTCCAGGCTGACCCAGGGGTCCTAATAGAGTAGGCTTCATGTGAGCCCTAAGTGCTTCTCCAAGGTAGGGTGGGAGGCTATGTAGCTACAATCTGGGTAAGAACCTTGACCCCTGTGCTGCTGGGGTCACCCACCTCTTCCTTTATGCTGTCCTGTGGGGACCCATCATTCTCATAGCTAAGACCCTGCTGGACTAGGCTTTGTTCTGGGTGCTGAAGGTAGGTGGCATGACACAACGTGGATGAGGAGCCGGGATTTGGCCTCCTGGTGCCAGAAGCCCCACCGATGAGGGAAACAAGGCACAAAGAGTAGCCTGAACGCCCTGATGCCGACTTGACCTCTCATTAGGCTTGACCTAGACGTGGGCACCTAGTAAATGTGGTACAGGAAAGGGCAGGCAAGTGGGGAGCATATTGATTGGAGGTCTTTGGTTAGGCAAAACCTGACCTTGTGTGCCTAGTCCCCTGTTCCAGCAACATGTGGACTGCTCCTTTCACAGAGACTGGCAGGTACGTGCCCATAGGTCCATCCTTTTTCTCCTGGGTGGGAAGAGGATCCCAAGGGTGACGGCTCTACACAGGCCCTGGGTACACTTGCCAGTGTAGCCTCTGACTAGGAGTTAATTGTGATGATGTTGGGAGGTGGTAGAACCTTTTAGAGATGAAGGATCATTTGAGGTTATAGTCATAAAAGGGATTAATGTAGTTCTCATGAGACCCAGTTAGTTCTGACTAGAGTGGGTTTTACTAAGAGCCAGACCGGCCCTCTTTTGCTTCTGACTTCCTATCCAGCCTTGGGGTCTCTCCTGTTTCGTGTGGTCCTACCATGTTATTTTTCATGCAATGCTGTGAAGGGGACCGTTATGAAAGTTAAGCTTACGTCAGAACCAGGACATTGGACTTCTAAAACCAACTTAAAGAAACCTCTTTTCGGGGCTGGAGAGATGGTTCAGCAGTTAAGAGCACTGGCTGCTCTTGAAGAGGACCTGGGGTTGATTTCCAGCACCCACATAGTGACTAACAACTGTCCATAACTCCAGTTCCAGGAGAATTTGATGCCCTCTTCTGACCTCTGTAGGCCTTGCATGACATAGGTGCACTTACATGCAGGCAATACACTCATACACATAAAATAAAAAATAATAAATAAAACAAAAACCAAAACAAACAAAAGAGAAACTTCTTTATTTAATACCCACCTTCAGGTGTTTACTGTCATAATGAAAAACAGACTCACACACCAAGGGTCCGAGAATGATGAATGGATAAACAAACAAAATATGGTCCATACATATAATTGAATACTGTCAACCTGAGAATGGAGGGGAGTCTGTGTGTATGAGGCACACGCCTGTAATCCCAGCCCTCAGGAGTTAGAGGCAGGGGGATCAGAAGCTCAAGATAGCCATGGATACACAGTAAGTTAAAAGGCTACATAGGAGGACTGGAGGGATGGCTCAGTAGCCAAGAGCACAAACTGCTCTTGCAGAGGACTGGAGTTCAATTCCTAGCACCCACATCAGGTGGCTCACAACTGCTTGTAACTCCAGCTCCACAGAATCCAATGCCCTCTTCTGGCTTCTGTGGGTACCTGCACTCATGAGCACATACCCATATATGGAGACACACATAATTAAAAATAAAATAAATTGCCAGTGTGGTGATACACGCCTTTAATCCCAGCACTCGGGAGGCAGAGGCAGGCAGATCTCTGTGAGTTCAAGGCCAGTCTGGTCTACATAGTGAGTCCCAGGCCAGCTGGGGCTACAGGGAGACCCTGTCTCAAAAAGACCAAAATTAATGAGTAAATAAATAAATAACAAAAATAAATAAAATTAAAAAAAAGAACTATAGAAGCCTTCAGTTTAATAAAATCCATTAAAAAGAAAAGAATGACCCATTGCCATGGATGGGGGACAGTGGAGATGGGGAGTTGTTTAATGAGTACAGTGTTTCAGTTCTACAAAGTCTGGCCATGTGTCACTCAGCATCATGAAGGTCTTTAACGCCACATGCTAAGAACACAGCTCTGGGCCAGCCCTCGCATCTCCTGCTAGTGCTTTGCTCACTCTGTTTCCCTGTGTTGGCATGCTGTGCTAGGAACATTAATGTTTTCAAGTTTATCAAGAAATGATTTTATGACCATATAATAATTACACATATTTATGAGTACATTGTGATAATCCAGTCCATGATATAATATTGAATGAGGAAATTAGAATAATTAGAGTTTTTATCTCCTTAAATATTTCTTTGTTCTGGGAAAGGAAAATTCTTGGCTAAAGTTCAGGGATGACTGGCTACTGGGCAAGCTCTTAATAATTTTTTTTAAAAACAAGGGTGTAAGTTGAAGTTCATGACTATGTAGTCAGTGTTCAGTCAAAAAGGTTTAGCTGTGACACACTATTTCCTTTATTTTGATATTATTTGTGTGTGTGTATGCACTATGTTGTGGCTGTGTGGGTACACGTGCCACGACAGACACGGAGGTCAGAGGACAGCTTTGTGCAGTCAGTTCTCTCCTTCTACGTTTGTATAGGTTCCAGGGATCAAACTCAGGTCTCCAGGCTTGTGTGGCAAGTACATTTACCTGCTGAGTCATTTTTCTGGCCTCAATTCCCCTTTTAAGTTGGAACATTGGCATAACTGTGGATTCATATTTAGTTATAGGGAATAGGATGGACTCCCTGCACACTTCTCCCCATTCCTTCAGCAATGCAATCCACCTCCGCAGTTTTACACGTATTCATTTGTGTGGGGATGTGAGGTGTTCAGGTCCCCCCTCCCTGCCTCCTTCATTTAAAAAAGATTTATTTTTAATTATGAGTGTGTGTGTGTGTGTGTGTGTGTGTGTGTGTGTCTGTCTGTCTGTGGGTATGTGTATGTGTGAGTACAGGCGCCCAAGGAAGCCAGAAGAGGGCATCAGATCCATTGGAGCTGGAGTTACAGATGTTTTTGAGTGACCTGAAGTGTGTGCTGGGAATGAAACTCATGTCCTCTGCGAGAGCCACACATGCTTTTCACCACTGAGCCATCTCTCCAGCCTTCCTTCTTTCCTTCCTCTCCTCCTGCCCTTCTCCTTCCCTCCCTCTTTCCTGCCCTCCATCTCCCTTTCCTCCCCTCCTTCCTTATTCATGGCCTTATTCACAGGCTTAGACACCTGAAACTTGTTTCTCACAGCTCCAAAACCACAGGACCCCTCTGCAGCCATCCACTGGCTTCTCACCCTCTTCCACCGTCCCTTACCCCTAATCAAATAACCCATCCTACTGTCCTATAATGTCATTTCTAATAAACTGTGTCATGGAATGAAATCCTTCGCCATCTTTTGGGATGGGATTTTTCACTCAACATGATTTCTTGGGGATTTGTTCAAGCATGGACCAATTGCTCATTCCTCTGTGTGGCTGAGCAGTACTCTGTGGGGTGGATGGACTGCCTTGCAGTTTCAGGTTTAAAATGTACTTGTCCTTTTCAACCTTGCTGGGAGACGAGATGATCGGGACGATGGTGATGCCATCATGTTTGTAAGGCCTTACTGAGTATCTTTGTAATGCGTGCACTATACAAGCTCCCTAGTCCTTGTAGATCTCACCAGGAAACTAATTTTCTCATATTTTGGCCATCATTATAGCAATGGTCCTGTATGGAAAAGCATCTGTCCAAACAGACACACACACCAGGGCAAGTGCACACTGATGCCCTGTTGAGGGTGACAATGGGGTGACGTCCATCTGCAAATGTTCAAATGGCCCATCAGGAGCTAGAAATACAGCAGCTGAGCGCTGATTATCTGCCCAGGAGTACAGGCTTGATACACCAAGCACTGACTGTAAACCACTGTAGCAGACTGGGAGTAGAAGCCCACAGCAATGGTTTTAATAATTTTTACCATTTTGTCTGTTCTGAGTTACAGAGTCCAGAACTTTACCAGCATTTATTTATTTAATACTTATTTTTGGATTATTGAGACAGGTTCTTGTTATGGACTCCTGGTTGGACTTGTAGTAGCTACGTAGCCCAGGTTGGGCTCAAACTCTTGACAATCCTCCTGCCTCAGCCTCATGAACGCATAGATTATAAGTAAGCACTATCATAGCTGACTCAATTTCCTTCCTTCCTTCCTTCCTTCCTTCCTTCCTTCCTTCCTTCCTTCCTTCTTCCTTCTTTCTTTTGAGGGTCTCAGATATCAGAGTGTGTGGTGGAGGTGCCTCACCTTGGCAGGTCAGGAAGCAGAGACAGGATCTGAGGCAGGCCTGGGCTCGAGGCCCACCCCAGTGTGTCTCTAATTCCCAAAGGTTCCACAACATCCCCAAACAGCACCACCAGCCAGGACAAAGTTCAAACACCTAATTTTAGAACTGGCCAACAGAACATGAAATCTGCTCCCCCAAATCCCAAATAAACCAAAGAGTAAGGGAGGGGAAGGGGCTGGGGACTTAGCTCAGTTGATGAGGTGCTTGTCTAGCATGCAAGAAACCCTGGGTTTAATGGACAGCAGCACATAAACCAGGTGATATAACATAAAACATGAGACCCTGTCCAAAGGAAAAAAGAAATGTGGGGGGAGGCAGGAGGGTGGAAAAATGGAGAGAGGAAAGAAGGAGGGAAAGAAGGAAGGAAGGAAGGAAGGAAGGAAGGAAGGAAGGAAGGAAGGAAGGAAGGGGAAAGAAAATCTACCAAACCATTTCCTTGGTATTTAACAACATTTTTTTAAAGACCTAGGTTGGAATTTCAATTCTTCTGCCTGGCCCTCCTGAGGTACTAGGCTTATGGGCATGTACCTG